ATTCACAGAGAACATATACTAGATACCTATAGACACATGTCTTAGCAGATGATTAAATTTCTAAAATTCCTATGAGCGATGCCGTGCGTATATTTCTGGTAATTAATTAAACTATTTGTGCTTTAATAAACTCTAAAATGCTAAAATGGTATTGGAGTACATTGACTAGCGACCGTACGTAAATTTTTTTTTATCCTGGATATACTCTATACCTAAATTCTACCTTACTTCACATTACATAAAACTAGCCCGTATATATCTTTTACCAGTTAGCGACACCTTTAATTGATAGGATCAGGAGTGAATAATAATAGTCTATTAATAATAATCTATTATTATTCAATCCTGATTGGATGTACCATGTAGACGCATCAGTGTCAGGTTTGTGTGACATAAAGAGTTCGGGGGTAAACTTCATTCTATACGGTATCACCAACACGCGGTTTCGCAACGCCTACTATCGTATTCTGGGCATTCAGCGGAAGAAGGGGACAACCAACGCGTCTACGGTGGTCACGGTCGGTGGAACGGCACGCGCTCTCCCTACAGATAGCACACTCGACCAGTAGCTCGAGTGTGCTATCTGTAGGGAGAGCGCGTGCCATTCCATCGGCCACGCATTTCCGAACACGACCGTGATGCCGTACATTCCCCAGAAGATGAAAAATACGAAGCAGGTGACGAAAAGCGTTTTGGCCAGTTTTAGTTCGTCGCGCGTCCGCTGCTGCGACATTAGCGCGTCGGGCGCGCTAGCCGCGATACGCCGCCGAGAATTGCGCACGAAAAAATAGATCCGCGTGTAGCAGAAGATGACGATGAAGAGAGGAATTACGATGGACGAAATAGCGAAGAATGCCGTGTAGGAAACATCGTAGGTGCGATCATAGAGGCAGGCCAATCCCTTGAAGTCGTACTTGTTGTTACCCCAGCCAAAGTGCGTAGGAATTTCGATCAGTATGCTAGCAATCCATATCAGACCGCAGTAGACGAACGTGGATGGCCAAGTGAAAATGGTGTTGTAGATCGCGGTGTGGCACATGACAACGTACCTGTAATAGAATTCGTAATCATCATAACAATAGGAATGATGAGATTGACGAGGAAAACAATGATAATCTGAAAATGAATGACATGTAGAAATGCAGAAATGCACCCGCCCCGCTAATATATATATATATATATATATATATATATATATATATATATATTTTGTGTGTGTGTGTGTGTGTGTGTGTGTGTGTGTGTGTGTGTGTGTGTGTGTGTGTGTGTGTATGTGTGCGTGCATGCGTGTGTGCGTGCGCGCGCGTGTGGTGTGTGTGGAGGGGGTTGCGTGCGTGCGTGCGTGCGTGCGTGCGTGCGTGCGTGCGTGCACGCGTGTGGTGTGTGTGTGTGTGTGTGTGTGTGTGTGTGTGTGTGTGTGTGTGTGTGTGTGTGTGTGTGTGTGTGTGTGTGGTGTGTGGTGTGGTTGTGTGTGTGTGTGGTGTGTGTGTGTGTGGTGTTGTGTGTTGGTGTGTGCGTGATGAGATGTGTGTGTGTGTGTGTGTGTGTGTTGTGTGTGTGTGTGTGTGTGTGTGTGTGTGTGTGTGTGTGTGTGTGTGTGTGTGTGTGTGTGTGTGTGTGTGTGTGTGTGTGTGTGTGTGTGTGTGTGTGTGTGTGTGTGTGTGTGTGTGTGCGGGGGGTAAATATTTAAAACCGATTTACTATTTATTCCGTTAACAGTTGAAATATGATTGTGCAGTAACAAAAAAAGGGAATCTAAAGAACAGAGATCGTGATTATATATATAATAGCAATATATCCGATATATGAACAATAGCCATACCTATTTACGGAGATAGCCGTAATATTGAGCAGTGAGGCAATGCAACAGACCAAACACACTGTAGCGATGGTAACGCATAGAGGCGTTTTATTGTAGAAGAATTCGTACCCTCCGGCGATACCTACAAGTAGTTTAATCAGCAAGTCTATGAAATAGAAGTATCCCTAGAACGTAAGCGTATCTCGTGAAACCTACGGCTCATAAATCAATCATGCAAAGACTTTTCTATTAAATGGTATCCTTATTAACTCCCACTCTGTTTCGTGATTCGCTAAGAGACAGCTATCGATACTCGAATTACATGAATAGATTAACTCAAAATTTGAGCAGAATGTATTTGACTTGTAGTACTAGAAAAGCTGCCTGACGTTTAAAATATAGTGTCGGTATGTAAACTGAAGTCAGATAGATAGATTCCTTGATTCCCCAAGTCATCCTTGAGCTTCCGTCGTCTTGATCACGTGCACGTTTTGTGTGCCCTCTATACCACGTGATATCCCATGGCTAACGGGTATATAAGGTGCCATATGACTGCTGTCAAGCACTCAACTCAGCAACCGAGTCACCGTCAGAGTCACCTGCCACTGCCCTCACACCAGAGTCGGCGATAGTTAGCCAGAGAGGGAGGAAGAGGCAAGACGCTCAGGACCACCGGCACCACGAGCTTCGTATAGCGTAAGAACACTGAACTATCACGTATGTTGACTGTTATATTGTGATTGCTGTCGTCAAGTAAAGAGGCTATTGTACGTAGCCAAGTACCGCTCATATCCGTGTTGCTGCTCTGTTTGTCGTTGGTTGGTCATAACGGGACGCGCCTGGCAGTCGAGGTGCACGACCCGACGTGTCGCCCCTGTGGGACGATCACGGCCTGATCTACCACCACGCCACAAGGGGAAAGCGTCACACTGGTGCCGTGACCAGGATCAACTATTTGATAGCAGAGCAGCGCGTGTGTGTGGCGTGTCGTATCTGGATTTACGCTTGTCGGCCTGCCCGTCAGCATATTATCCAAACCTCACGTCGCAACGCACAAAACGCGGGTATTGGTTGCGGTAGAGCTCTGGTAACTGCCATGATCAATCGTACAGCCGGCAAGGGCGCTGGTTATGCGGCGCCACCTGGTGGTGCAAAGCGGTCGCGCAACGGAGCCGACATGTTCTACATGGAGATTTCTGGTGTGGCATAGAGCCAGATAGGGATGACGACATCGAACACAAGCATCCATCCCGCATCACGTTCTGTACAAATCCCATCGAGGTGTTTAGTACGTGGTCGGTCGACGACTACGACCGCCGCAACGACGACGTCGATCCTGTCGCGGCGTCCGCCGAGTACGAGCTCGAGAAACGCGTCGAGAAGATGGACGTGTTCCCGGTCGGCTTCGTCAAAAGTGCGGAGGGACTAGGCTGGTGCGTCATCGGCATGGGCGTCTAAGCGGACGCCGGCATCGAGAAGCTGGGTATCTTTGTGAAAACCATCATGCCTGCCGGCGCCGCAGCGAAGGACGGCATGATTCAGGTAAATGATCAGATCG